AGGGGGTCCAGTCCTGGTCATACAGGGTCAGTGTGTCTGCAGGATGTCCAGTCCTGGTCCCGCAGGGTCAGGGTGTCCGCAGGGGGTCCAGTCCTCCAGGACCCTGGACACACTGACCAGCCCCTCCAGGACCCTGGACACACTGACCAGCCCTCCAGGACAAGGACACGGCCGTTGGGGACAGTGTTATGATAATACTGCAGCAGATCTCCCTGCTTCTCGCTAGCGCACTGGATGAAGGCAGGGGGCGCCACTGAGGACAGGAGTGTAGGAGAGGGCTGGGCCGTGAGGGGGACGCCTGCTCACACCTGTGTGCTTTGCTCAAGGAGTGGAAGAGCTGTTCACTGTATTCTGAGGCACTGAAGTCCTTCAGCACTGCGGCAGAGGAGTGGCGGCTGTGTTGAGGGAGGGGAGCCCCAGTTCTGAGGAATAAATACTCCCCACTCTGCTGCCCTTCTCTACAAAAAACCAGACGCTTAGATGCACTGGAGGTCACTGCCGAAAAGCCAGAGTAGAAGTTTGCAGTGGCTGTGGTTGGCAGGGCCTTGAGGTTGGTAGCTGAAGTTTAATTTATTTTGTGGTTTATTTGTTGTTGTTTTTGATGTCCTCCTGGCTGACCTCTGTGTCGTGTCAGGTAAACGCGTGCACTACACGGGTCCAGCCGGCAGAGGGCGCTGTGGCCCGTGGCTGTACTCGGCTGCGGTCTGAGCTGGGGCGCCAGCGTCACAACAGACAGTGCGCTGTTGGGGATTCAACTTGATATGATACATTCATAGCTATTAAATCTATTAAATATAGATTTTCTCTTCTAGGCACATAGATCATTCTAAACGTGGAGATTAATTCTGATATATGCACTGTATTGTATTACATTTTGCGGATTTTTAAACGTTTAAATGTTTATCATAGCTACATAGACATAATTAAATTTTTAATATGCTTGAAGGAAAAAAAAATTGGTCACAGCTTCAACGTCTTTCTGCGGGGAGCTTCTCGTGAGCTTCCACGTTAATTAAGGAGGAGGGGAAGACCTTTATGATCTTAGTGGGCTCAGTTCCCGTCACGTTACTGCGTGTGAATAAGACAGTGCGATTAAATCTTCTGTCGCGTCCCGTTTGCTCATCGTCGACTGCGGAATCTCCTAGGGTGATCCTTCGAGATATTTTAAATGTGTATTTTTCTGTAAATATACGCGTTGTGGAATGTTTACCGTGATGTCGCAAAGCTCGAGATCGGAGCGGTGCCGACGTGACGCTGCTCGAGCTGTGCCAGCTCCGCTCTTTCACTGCTCGGCTCGGTCGTGTCCGGGTTCGGTGCTCCTACGCGTGTGTTGACTAAGGGTTTAGTGGGAACACGCTACTCAGCGGTTTTTCCCCGCAAGACGAGAAAAAATAACTTTTCACCTGTGAAATGCGCGCGGGTGTTCAAGTCTATGTGTGCCTGCATTCTTCAGTACTTCATAGAGATTTACAACCTCCCGGAGATTCAAGTCCAACACTGAATCATCGGACAACGCTTGGCGAATATAGACCATTGCTTTTTCCAACAAAAAAATCATGTGACTGAATTGGGTATTTTGCGTTGTTTCTTGTCTAGAAGCTCTTAGCCTGTGCAAAAAAAAAATGATTTTCACAATATCAATATATTAAATCTTAACACGGATGTGTCCAAACAGCTGTTTTATTTAATGTGGGAAGCGCGTTTCATTCCTGGTTTACTTAAGCGTTATCTGAAATATTGTTGACACGTTTCGATGTAGCTCACGGGGATAACCACGCGCAGTCAGGAGTTCCCCAAACCCGTAGTTGTTACTGCTGTCTTGAGTTGTGTCGGCAAACAAGAATGTCGGGCCAACATAGTGAGTCGTGAAACCTGTCACTGAACCCTTCTTCGGTTTTGAGTCGGGTTTTTTGCGTTTTTTTTTTGTGGCCTCTGGGAGCTGCGAGCTGTGTGATTTGTTTTTGGCTTTCCGGTTTTGTGTGCTGTTTGCTGGTGGTGTGGTTTGTGGTTTTTGCTTTGCTCTAAAACAGTCTTGCTCTCGGAGCGGTGAGCACGACTCCAATGGTGTAACAGTGCTGTGTAACAGATTCTCCAGCTCGCTGCTGGGAATGGGCTCTGATATTGTGAATAAGAAGTATTTTCTTAATTCCTTGTGTAAAAGAACCATGACACAGAAGGTTTACAGTATGTATTTTTGCGTGTCTCGAAATATTAAAAATCGTTTTATCTAAACTGCTTGCCTTTTTGTCGCATCCGGGAGTGGCACAAGACATGAGAATTCTTCTTCTTTTCATCTTCCAGCCCCCCACCGGCTGCTGTCATGTGTTTGGAGTCGGTATTGGTCTTGCTCGGGTAGGACAGGGGCTGTAGTTTAATCTCGGGTTTGTGCTCAGCCGGGGTCCTGAAGGGGTCGCGCCGCGCCGCGAGATCGCGATTCCACGGTGCGGTTTTGTGCGCTCGCGAGGGAGCGGCTTCTGGGCCCGGGGATATGGAGGAGCGGGAATGCACATAGAAAAGCAATTATTTCAGGGGCTCTTTGTCAGCGGCCGGAACAATAGGAGCCGAGACCCGAGTCTTGAAGACCCATCCATCAACCCCCAGTTCACTGCGGCCGGCCGGGCGACAGCGAGCTTGTCGGGTGGTTTGGAGTGGGGAATACGGCCTGAAGATGCGCGCAGTGCAGCCGGACACCGTGCTGGTCAAGGGAAACGATCAAGTCGGCAGAGTGTGCTTTGATTTAACCGCTCTTGAGTAGGGGCTGGTTCATGAGAACTGCAGGGTAGTTCAACGTGAGGCTGTCCGTGTCTAACAAGGTTTACATTTCGGGTAAGAAATGCCCTCTTTTGTGAACGCTGAAATCAGAATCGCAATCAGAAAGCCCCTTTCTGCGCGCGCTCTGCCCGCTGCGTTGATCACTGAACTGCCCTGAAAAGCGGTTTTCATTTTTAAAACGCCCACGACATGCCTGTTTCTCTGGGTATCTCCTACGGCGGCGAGAGTGCGAGAACTATGATGTTTTGCCGAACGGTGAGCATGATAAATGCTCCTCTTTCTCTAGCATATTGAAAGAGGACGGAAAGGAGCGGGGGAGTTCTGTCAGGAGGGAGCGTGGCGTCCAGGTTACCGGTGAACCTACGGCTTTAGCACCGAGTGCGGAGGTGATTGACGTCAGTATCGACGGCTCGTGCGCCTCTGGGATTCGGGGGCCCTGGTCGCCCTTCTCGACACCCCTCCCCCTCCAGAGGGGTCTCAGTAACCTGTCAGCTGCGGACCCCAGCAGGGCCGCGAGCTATTGGCTGCTTCCAGCGCGAGGTCGCCGATTTTTGTCTCCCGGACTCTGGACCCCGAAGGGCTCGCGGCGCAGACAGGCAGCAGCGCGCCGCTGTGTTGAAGACTCTGGGATCCGTCCAGCTCTCGAGAAGCGAGCGGCTCGCCCTGGTCCAGTCCTGCCCGCGAGTGCCGCACCCATGAGAGCCGGAGGCGAGGCGGGCCGGAGGCTGCGGTCTTGCCTGCTGCTCCTGCAAGCGCTGTCGAGCGCGGCGGACCTGTGCACCTGGAGAGGGAGGTGGGTCCTGTCCCGCGCGGGTCGGTGGCGCAGATGACACCTGTGATGCGCCCCGCGTGGCTGCCGAGTCGCAATAGGACGCTCTTGAATGTGTTCAGGTGGGGGGCTGCGTCAGCACGCGTAAGGCTGCAAAGGAACAAGCGACGTTTATTCCAGCTGGGAAGAGAAGAACAGACCCGAAGAAGCTCCACAGCCGAAACGTTGTGTTTCCTTTCTTCTCTTTTCAGCTGGAATAAACCTTTACTTGTGCTTCGGAATAGGACGAATTTGGACACTGAGAAAAAAACGTGTGTTGAGGTTTCAATGAAATTGCGTTTTTGATGGTCGCTGTATCCGAACGAAAGAGATGTATGTGGAAAGAAAGATATTCTGTATGGATCTGATCGCACCTTCAGCCACATACGTGTTTGGCTGCAGACATACAGTATGTTAAAGCACAGCATAGGCATGTATACCTTAGTGAGATGGATTCCCTGAGATCAGTTTCAAAATGCAAGACGTTATCAGAATCCTCCTTGCTGAGTTCCTCATCATCAGTTCTCAAAGACCAGCGGCGATCCCGCCGTCTGTGAAATCCGATTTCAAACCCAAACAAGAAACCAGCACTGGTTCTGACTTATCTAGCAAGAAGTCCCGGCTCGGTCCAAACGCGCAGATGCTCTCCTGGGTAGCAGCAGGGCCTGACTGGAGAGTCGTGTCAGGATGTGCAGAGCTCAGTGTGAAATGCACTTAGCGCCGTGCTAACGGGCTCCGCTCTGGATGGTCTGCATGCATTACAGGGTTTTCAGAAACATTCACGAGACACTAACTCCTCTCTCTCCCCCCGCCGCGCGGCCAGCGGGCTCGTGCGCGAGCCCCACGCCAGGGCGGTGCAGCAGGTGCTTCTGCGCTGCACGGAGGGCGCCGTGGAGTGGGTGTACCCCCGGCAGGCGCTGCGGGTCGTCCTGCAGCCCAACCTGGCCTCCGCGCGCCCCTACACCGTCTGCGTCAAGCCCTTCCGCGGCTCTCGCGGTGCCAGCATGCACGTGGAGAGGGCGGGCGAGCTGGAGCTGCTGCTGAGCGAGGGCGCGCGGCCGGCGCGCGCGCACTGCTTCCGCGCGGACGGGCCGCAGCCGCCCGCCATCTTCCTGCAGGCCAGCCCCCAGAGCGACATCGGCCGGCGCGCCGTGGGCTTCCAGTACGAGCTGCTGGGCAACCGCAGCTCCGCGCCGGACCTGCAGGACAGCGTCCTGCAAGGTGAGCTGGGGGGGGCAGGTGTCTGGAGTGGCCGTCAGGAGTGGGGTCGGTGGACAGTGGTCAGTCGGTAGTGGGGTCAGTGCCCCCTGGCCCCTGGACGGGCCCCCCGGTGTGGGAGAGAGGCGCAGGCTGTCCTGCTGTGGGTCACAGGGGCAGGGGCGGGGGGGTCTGGGGTCGGAAAATGAGTCTGATTCCTGCCGCAGAACTGACTCCCGACCGGAGCCCTGTGTGTCCGGAGCACAGTGGAGTGGGCAGGGAATGGAGTCCCAGGATTCCGGCATTCCTGCAGGAATTCCTGCCTTTCCAGAAGCGGTGTGTGGGATGATGTCATTCTGCATGGATTCCAGAGGGCTGAGGTTTTTTTAATGTGTGGTGTGGTGTGGTGTGGTGTGGGGGAGGGGTAGATTTCCCCCCCCCCCACACTCCCCTCGACCCTGCCAGCGCCTCCCGGGGGTGGATACCTGCTTGCTGGTTGCTGGACAGCTGGACAGCAGGCTGTGAGGCTCCGGGTGGCAGGGGCTGATCTGGGCGGCACTCGCGCTGTCTGCTGTGTCTCACTCGCGCTGTCTGCTGTGTCTCACTCGCGCTGTCTGCTGTGTCTCACTCGCGCTGTCTGCTGTCTCACTCGCGCTGTCTGCTGTGTCTCACTCGTGCTGTCTGCTGTCTCACTCGTGCTGTCTGCTGTCTCACTCGTGCTGTCTGCTGTCTCACTCGCTCTGTCTGCTGTGTCTCACTCGTGCTCCTCCTCTCACAGCTGCGTGCCGCCCCTGCAACAACACCGAGCTGCTCCTGGCCGTCTGCAGCAGTGACTTCGGTACGTCTCCCCGCCGCCCCTAGAGCAGCACAAGGGTCCGAGCTCGTTCGGCCCAGCCAGGGCCTTAGCAGCTAAAAGGTCCAGGGATCCTCTCCAGTTTCCTGTCAGACGCCCGGGTCTCCACTTCAACTGCATGGCTGGGCAGCCTGTTCCACACTCCCGCCACTCCCTGTGTAAAGAAATGCCTCCTGTTGTTGGTTTTCAATGTTCTTCCACTAGAGTCATCTGCTTCATGTCGTCTTCTTCATCCTGAGTTTGCTGACTCTGTTGATGCCTTGGAGCGTTTCAGGTCCCTCCTTACTCTTTTGTGACAAGTTTAGGACGCGTCTTTGAGCCCAGGAATGCATCCGGCTCCTCTTCCAGAGCTACTGACTCCAGGGCAGTGAGACCTTCTTCTGGTGTGACGACTGAAACTGTATTGAACATTCTCAACGAGGTTTATCTAGGGAACCGTTTAAACGCAATATCCCAGACTGATTGGCCTCAAAAGTGCCCAACAGACTGCACAGAGCTTGAAAATACATGCAGATACATCTAGAAAGTAAAAAAAGTCTGTTTTTTGCCGAGAGGCAGAGTCTTTGGGTGCGGAGGGCCCTCGAGTGGGGACCCCTCGCAGGTTCCAGCTCCTGAAGTCCCTCTCTGTGTCACAGGCCCGGCGCTCAGGGTTAATTGCTATTGACGTGTTTATGGGGCGTTGACCTTTGCCCTTCTGAAGAGCGGGAGTGTTTGGTGCTCACTTTGCGAGCCGGCGGTGTCCCAGACCCCCTCCTGCGAGCGCCGGGCTGACAGATGTGGGGGCTCAGGCGCACAATGGGGGGCAGCAGTGCTCCGGACGCCAGTGGGGCAGAAGAACCGACCCTTTGACCTGCCTGACCGCCCTCCCCTCCCCTCCCCCCCAGGTCACGGCCACCCCCCTCTCTGACCCCGAGAACCAGTCCTGCCCAGGCTGTCCCGGGCCCAGCGGGCTCCGGCGGCGCTGGCAGACCCTGCCGGTCTTCCTTCCCGATTCCCGAAACCGTCCGTCCTCGTCACGTGACTTGTAGCGACATAGTGGTCAACTCTCAGAAGGTGACGGCAGGCGCTTGACCGCGAGCCTCCAGCCGCTGCTCTGAAAGGGACAGTGCTGCTCCGTTATTCCTGTCGCGCTCGTTCGTTGTTTTCCAGACCCGCGCGCTGCTCGGTGTTCTCACTGCTGCGCTGTGTGTGTTTGTGTCTCCTGCGACAGGGACGCCACCCCGCTCTGTGCTGCCACTTTCCAGCTGTCAGGTTAAAAACCCGAATGGGATCTGGGGAATGGAGCTCTCTCTGACTCTCTGTCTCCCTCGCAGTGGCCAGGGGCTTCATCCTCAACGTGTCCCACGATGCCGAGCGCCAGACGTCGCGGGTGGAGGTGGGCGCCAGCCGCGTGTACCGGCAGCGCGGGGGGGTCTTCGTGCCGGGGGACGCCAGGGGGGCCTGGAGGGGCCACGTCCAGACCCTGCTACGCTGCGGGGCGCGGCCGGGGGCCGGCGAGTTCCTCTTCGTGGGCGCCGAGCACTTCGGGGAGGCCTGGCTGGGCTGCGCCCCGCGCTACGGGCACTTCCTGTCGGTGTACGGCGCGGCGCAGAGGCGCCGGGAGAACGCCTGCGAGTTCCCGCTGGACTGAGGAGGGCTCCGACTCGGGGTGCAGGACGGCCTTGGGGTGCCCCTTCTTCTCGCCTGTGGGAGCCGCGCAGCAGGGACCTGACGCCCCCTGAGCCGGCCGCCGTCGCCGGGCCCCGAAGCTGCTCACCGGTGTGTCTGTCGGCCCCGAGGGGCCCGGTCGTCACACTGCTGCTGGACAGACACCGGGTGACCGGCTCTCCCGCCTCCGGCTGTCCGACTTCACAAGCACCTCCGCGGAGTCTCACTCCTGTCCGCCGGCCCGTGTTTCACCGCTGGTTCTGCGGAGCCGAACGGCTGGGTCGACACTGCCGGGGGGGGGGTGGCCTTTGAAAGCTCCCGCAGTGAGTGCAGGCCTGTCCCCTCCTGCCTGCCAGTGAATCTGCCGGCTCTTCTCTCCCCCCGCCCTCGGGTGACCCCCAGCCAAGTGCAGGTCTGAGCAGCACCTACAGCTGGGACCTCAAGATGCAATTGGCATTCCCATTTGGGAAGGTAGTAAGAAATAACTAGCTTTTTTAACCCTTCGTAGTTCTACAAGTTTCCAGAGCGTGTGTGGCCAGAGTCGAGGTGAAACACGAGAGGCACAGCGCTGGGGTTTGGAGAGACTCCGCTCTGCGGTGCAGTTCTCAGGGTGTCCAGCAGGTGGCAGACGGCTGTTTTTTCAAGAACGTTTTTTAGGAAAGTAGAGTCGAGTTTTGTTCCGTCTTCAGTGCTGTGCCCTTAGTGTCTTAAAGACCTTTAGAGATGCCTTTTACTCTATTTCTTTAAAGAGATTCACTCTGCAGCCTCCCTGACGACTATTCATGCTTAACCCTTCAGTAAAGAACGTATTTAGTGCTTAACGGTTGTATCTATACAATGATATGCGCAATTTGGAGTTCCTTTATCATTGTAATTCTG